AACTGTAAATTTTTACATTTTGAGGCTTAAGTGGTAGTAGATGGGTACCACTAGCTAATAGTCATTACCTAAGAGAATACTCGGCCCAGAATAGAATGCATATTAAAGAACATATAAGTAATCCTCACGTACTGGCCTAATTCCTTTCAACCTCAAACAGAGCTACTATTCAAAATAGTCATCTCTGCAATAAAGATGTACAAAAATAGAGATTTAGCTTTGGAATGCAATTTTTTTTATTAGTTGTTCAAGACAACAATATCCAAGATGCTGGTAAATTATTTCAAATACAATAAAAATATTTTTGTGAGGACTTGGCTTAGAATCTACTGGGAAGCTATCACCGACCTAACCTCAACTATTCTTTGTACTAACAGATGACTAGCTACCCAAACTAAACTTTAAATATTTATTTGGAAAGCTTTCTTTGATTATGACAAAGTTAAAGTCCTTGATCTACATTAACTGTATAAATGATTAAATCACCTGATAATTAGACATAAACAACTGTATACAGTAATAATTATTCCAACCTTATTTTATAGATGGAAGCAAAATATAATGCAATCCCAACTATTTTTAAAAGTTTATTCATTTAAGTAATCTCTACACTTTACACTGGCCTTCCTCCAACTCACAACCCCGAGATCAAGAGCCACATGATCCACTGATTGAACCAGCCAGGCAACACTACAATTCCCAATATTTTTAAACAAGCCAAAATAACTTTTCTGTTTTTTTTCTCTTTTACCTTGATAGCTTTCTCTATTTTTAACTTGCAGGAACGTTGTAGTTTTCCCAGGTGCCCCATTTTATGTCATTAGCACTCATGTACCATATTATGAGAAAATGGCTCTAGATCTTACTCTGTAATAATCAATTACCTTGGTCTTGAATCCTTTCAGTAATCCCAAGGATAAACTCAAAATATTAAAATCCCTTTCAGTAATTCTGAGGCAAGACTTGCCCAATGACCTGATCAACCTGCAAGAGTGACAGAAGCTTGACTACTCTGTAAAAAAAAACACCCTATTTTTGATACTCACAGATGTGGGACACCTTTAAAAAAAAAAATCAAACAGGAAACTTAAAAAGATTTTAATAGGGGGCGCCTGGGTGGCAGTGGGTTAAGCGACCAGAGTCCGCGATCATGGAATCCGTGAGTTCGAGCCCCAGCGTCGAGGCTCTGGGCTGATGGCTGCCGGGAGCCTGGAGCCTCTTCGATTCTGTCTCCCTCTCTCTCTGCCCCTCCCCGTTCATGCTCTGTCTCTCTCTGTCCCAAAAAATAATAAACGTTGAAAAAAAAAATTTAAAAAAAAAAAAAAAAAAAAAAAGATTTTAAGCAGAAATTATGTTCTCTTCCATGCCTTTAAAATGCATTATAACAAATGTATTAACAAGAATATCTGGGTGCAGGACACCAAGTACACTAAGGTGCATCGAGATCGAAAAAGTGTTCCATCTCCACAGTTTCTGAAAATACGAAAGTTTTGATATAAAGCAAGTGTCATTTAAACAGATAAACTTAGAGACAGAAATACAACCACAACTCAGTGGTTGAATTAAGATGGCTGTTGAAACTTGTTTTTTGAGACCCTCCTACCTGTGATGTGAGCAAAACTCTTCTAGCTTGTTGTCACATGTCAGACAAGCACTCCCAAAATAAGACAGGGTGCTTTACAAACACACCCTAGTTTTAACTAGAGACTAGCTCAGGCTTCTCTGCATACGGTCCTACGTTCAAGAACCAGAACAACTAAATTTATCCACCACGGTAACAAAGTGATTCTGAAGTGCTGATGTCTTTGGGAAGAAAAAAGAGACCAGAAGAAAAACTTAGCCATGAAAGAACTTCGTGAGAAAACTGCTCCTTCTAGTTGGGGTCTGAAATTATCTCAGAGAGTTCTTAAATCCTTTTCCCCAATTAACCACTCACACATACCCTGCTCGTACACATTAGATGACAAAGTCGCAGGACTCTCAAAAACAAAACCTCTCAGCTAAGAACACCCGGAAGGGAAATTCCACGACAATAACTCTCCCCGCCACCACCGATATACATGTCGCACATCACGCTGCAGCAAGTGAGCACTCACCACCCGCTCATGGGAGACACAAACCTGTTCCAAAAATCTGAGATGCAGGTACTGCTTGCTCTCCTGGTTCCTGCACCCCTCCCACCTTAGGAAGCTACCTCCCCAGCATGCTGGGCTGCCATTTTGACAAGAAAGGGGCCTTTTATCAAGGCCCCATAGCCAGGATCGTCCTGAGCAGAGCCTAAGAACCACAGGAGTCCCTCACCTGTCAGGCTCAAGCGCCCCCAGCCATCCCTATGCTCAGAAAGTTCCCTGGCCTGGGGTCCTGAACAGAGAGCCCAGCCAGTAAAGACGGAAGCCCGCTCGGCCTCTCAGGCAGCAGCGGAGGTGGCAACCCCAGCGCGAGGGCGGGTCCGTCTGCGGGCGAAGGCCGGGCGTCGACCCACCACGCGCTCCTGGTAACCGTGTGAGGGCCTTGGGCCTTGCAGACATAACACTGGGGCGTATGGGCTTCATCGCCCTTGCTCACGACCTGAGCAGTTCTCGAAGGGCGCTCCTTAAAGAACGCGCACTACATCACTAGAAACTCCAGCCCTGCGTCCTCCCCAAATACGGGCAGCTTCCTGTGGTCGTCCCCTTCCCCCTCGGCTGCTGCACGCCTCTCCCAGGCGCGGGCGAGAACAACCAACCTCCCTGTCGGCTTCTCCCCTTAAGCTGCCCGAAGCCCACTGCGCCCGCTTACTCCCCAACTGGCGCGCGATGCTAACGCCCAGTGCCCCGGGCCGTGTTCCCTCCTAGGTCGAGTGCGGCCCGCTGAGACCAAGCCTGTGTGCCGCAGTTCCCATTTCACTCAAGGTTTTACAGACTGAAGTTTTGTGGGTTGGTTAAACTCAGGACCCTCCTCAAAAGGACCCTTTTTTTTCTTTCAAGTGGCAGCCTCCAGCCGCGCACAAAGTGTTAGATCTGTTGCGGGCGTGCTGAGAAGCAAGCATTTCAACGCCTACAATTTGGAGTGACCAGTGGTGGCGAGGGCCGGGAGGTCAGTGCCGAGGGAGCTCCTGTCCCAGAGGAGCTTTAGAATGGGGATGCAAGGCTCCGCCGCCGAAACGTGCCCCTGTCGACCAGGCTCAGGGAAGAGGAGGGGAACTTGCCTTTGTGTCTATTAAAGAATGGGGTTCAAATGTTGTGAAGTTTTTCCCCCAAATCCCAGATACCGTGGTTCTCTGGGAGTGTGGTTACTAGTT